CTCTCTAGGGGCGAGTGTAAATAGAAGAAAGAAGCCAGGGGGTGCCCAAGCAGCTGGCTTTGTGAGACTGAGCATGTCTGGATCTACGGCTGTGAAAAGCCATCCTGTGTAGCTCGCAGGGTCATGAAGGCACGCAAACCATCACACCACGTCAATGTGCAGTCTCGTCGTGATGGTGATTAGTTGGAAATGGCGCATACAGTTCACTAGATCCAATCTTAACCAACACAATAAGTAGCAACCGTAAACAATTGGTGAACAAAAGCGACCCCGAAATTTAGCAGACATCCGAAATCTTAGTAAAAAAATAAAACCAATGAGTAATGATAAGTGCATTGTACACTACAGAGTTGTAACAAAGGGAAAGCGGTGAAATCGCATGATTAGTGTTTTATACTTATAATACAGAGAAAAAGTGCGAGATAAGTAAAAAAAAATACTGTACTGTTATAAGGAACGCAGACAGATTCAGGACGTAGCGGAATAGAGGGCTTTGGGTGCGTCTGAAAAGACTGTACAGGGTGAATTTGAATGTGTGCATTGTCATGGCTGGGGTGGCTGAGTCAGAAAAATAAAGCCAAAACAACTGACAATACACAGATTACGATGGAAAATACAATGATGAAGAATGGTTTGCCGAAAGCCTCTGATGATAGACTGATCACGTAAAAAAGCCCAATATCCAAATCAAAAACCAAGGGATATCGGCTTGGTTCACAAAGAAGGAGAAATATACTCAGTGTATCTGTTTTTTCTAGAAAGGAGTTTTCTCAGTGGAGTGCATTCCGCATAGCCGCTGCTTGTCGTCGGGTGGTAATGATGGATTCGAACGTCTGAGAATAAAAAAATAGAAAGACAAAAAATAAATGAAGTACATATATGGCTTTGCATTATTCTACATGAATGCCAGTGAACTCACAAGCAAATCTCGAACATCTGTCTTTAAGTCGCTCAGCTGAAATAAGGATTACTTAAAATTGAAGTTTAAACATCGAATCCCCACGGGTTACTGAATAAATGAGAAGATCATGCATGAAAAAGAAGGCGCAGCGCACACGGATATTGCACTTCAAAAGAGAGCAAAACAATCAGAGAGTACTCATAATTATCCCTGCACTTCACTGCTCGTTGCCGAACTCTCAATGCATGCAATGTAGGTGAGAATGTACAAGTTGGATAAGGATTGGACTACGTTCGAGGGAGGGGAAACGCAGGTGAATTTTCATGGTGAACAAAAAGTACACAATCTAACTGTGCAAATAGTTTTGAAACATTCTAGCCAGGCAAAAAGTGACATAATAGGCAACACTATCAACAGCAAAGTTCCTGCGAGCTATAGAGAAGGAACTGAACTGCCTTCATTGATTTAAATAAAAATATCTGGGAGAAGGGAAAGCACATGCTAGCTTGATCGACATGATCAGTGATGAAGTGATCGCAAAGTAGATATTAAACTCGACTAAAAAGGTTATCGGTTGAGGCAAAAAGTACCCGTTTGAGTCGTGGAAAGTATCGATTCATTGATCAAATCTAATACTGTCCGTGTTGAAGAGAATAACGTAGTGAAAAGTTACGCAATCTATGAAGCCCAAGGGTGAGTTGGAGAGTAACCTACCGATTTAGTTGTGTTGACTGCCTCTGACCCGGTGTTATGATACGAAGACTCCGATGGAGCTTTACCATCGGTGTGGGACGACTGGTCTTCATCCAGGGATGACCGCGAGAGAGCCGTTTCTTCAGGGCGTTCGTTTTCATCGGTTACTGTAGTCGATTCTGTAGCGTGAGGATCCGATCCATCAACCGATTTCATGGAACTATTAGGCTGTGATGCGGCAGGGATGGACTGTGCATTTGAAGAGCGACTTGTGGTTCGATTGGCGTTGTCTTCTTCATTTGAAGTGCCTGGACGGAGAGAGCGAGTACCGGAAGTCACCAACGGGGCTCCGGAAAGAGGAGATCGCGAACCCAAGGTTGGATTAGTTCGATTCACGGAAAAAGACGTAGGGAAAGACGAAGGTGAGCCAGGAATTGATGAAGTACCTAGGGAGCTCTTCATCAGGGGTGATCCAGAAAGACAAGCCTCATATGATCCGCTACGGCTATTAGGACTCTCTTGGGATAAAGGTTTGGAGAGTCTGTGAAGAGAAGAAAACAGAATGACCCAATATAGAGCAAATGACGTCTATCCGAGAACAACTGATACTGCGATTCTGTGAACACGAAGTCAGTGAACTGTGTGGGCCAAATGGTGTGCATTAGTACACCAGTTTCGGTTGCCGTCTTATGACTGCCCATTTGAATAAAAGAGCACAATGAAGAATGGAATGTTGAGTGCAGAGCCAAAGTGAAGATAGTGAATTCATATGGACTCGGGTTGCACGAAAAATGTGCCACTGTCCGGAATGTAAAATTAAAATAAGTCCGGTTGATTTGGCTGTGATCGGGTATTAATAAAGAGCGTGACGACGGTTCCATTCATAAAAGTTTTCGCAGTATCCCCACTTTTGCTTGAGCGAAAAAACTATTGCAAGGTATTATTATGTTAGTCAGGTAAAAACCTAAGTGGTATCCTTCTGCTCCTCAGATTTCGATTCATTTTATTGCACACCAGTGTGTGATGAACAGAAGACCCCATAGTCACGAAGACCTGCTATTCTGTGATGGTAACCAGCAACTCAAGCCCTGGGACTTGGAGTTGCAAACGGCGTAAGACTCCGCTAGGTCAGGCGTGGTGTTAAACCAGACGACAGCAAAGCTACCTACCACCCAAGTTGGGTGGCGGGGCCCGAACCTAGGACCACAGGGTCCTAAGTACGCCGATGACAGCGACTAAATCACTGCACCATCACCATCCCAAATCACAAAAGCAAACCACTATCACGGAAAGGGTACTCAGTTCAACTGAAGTGTATCTGAATAGCATCGAGACCACTTTGCACATTTCTTAGAAATTCCAAGAAAAAGCGTTTGGATTTTAACTATGATCGCGTGAGTTTATCGGGGATCAGACAAACGTGAAAAGAAGATGTGAAATTTAAAACGGTCCGATTTTAACCACAGTTCGCCGGAAGAGACTTCCCAATACCGAAGGAATCACCAGATGATCATGAAAGCGACGAACGCTTAACGAACGTGACTCTTAAACTGTTCGTTGCAATCCCTTGGAAAAGCAGTTGTCGATCGTGTCATAAGTAATACATCACCTAACAGATGACGAGGCGGAGCAATTTTGGCGTCTCAATAATCGGCTAAGAAAGAGACCAAGTTACGCAGGCAAGTATCGGTCGCAGAAATGTGCAAAGAATTTCCAAGAAATCTGGAACGGTATGTTCATAATTTCTCGTCTATGAGTTTGGATAAGTCATCACTAGAATTTTGCTCTCCAACTCGTATTACTCGCCAAATGGAGCTGGAAACTCAGTTTGACAACCTATACGGACAACTAGCAGATTTAACACGATCAGCTCATCTCGAGGCTCAGAAACTGAACTCCAACTTGGTTCAGACATATCTTCAGAATCTAACATCTAAAGAAACGACGGAAGGGATTCCAGAGTCGGAGCATTTCGAAAAGCTGAAAGAAACACCTGAAAANACCTGAAAATCAATAAGGACATTATGATCACGAAACCGGATAAAGTTGCGGGAATCGTCATACTAAACCGAGCACACTATATGATCAAGATGAACGAACTGCTCGGTGACAGAAAGATAAACCTCTTGGTGTAGAAAGGAGAATATTCAAAGTGATCAGACAAATAAAACAATACAGCGTAATCAATTCGTCCACATATGAAAGAATTAGACTGATCGGGACAACAATACCATGGCTATACGGACTAAGATCCACAAGGATGGGTACCGTTGCGTCCCATTTTGAATGAGTAATTCGCCATACCACGCTCTGGCAAAGTGGCTAGCCGATCTCCTCGAACCAGTCAGAAGAGATCGCCCAGTTCCGTCTACGGGACTATTGATTTTGTCAATCACACTGCACCAATCAACACATGTTCTCGCTGGATGTTACGTTATTATTTACCAATATGCCACTCCAAGAGACTAATGAACTCATCGTTAATTACACAGAAAATTCGGGAACTTCTGTTGGACTAACCGTAGCTAAGCTCTAGAGATTTCTTTAACCAAGCATATATAACACAATTTCATTTTACTGGTGCGATTTATAGACAGAAAGACGGAATAGCCATGGGTTTTCCATTAGGACCACTACTAGCAGACATTTTCATGGCCAAATTAGAAAACGGAGTTCTCTCAAAACCCATAGAAGAATCCCCCTTCTACAAACGATATGTGGATGACATTGTGTATACGACGCTGATGTTTCATTGGAGAAATTCAATGAAGCTCATTAAGAAAATGGAGTTCATGCTGGAAAAAGAATCTACAAATGGTGTCGCATTTTTCTAGACATGTCATTGTCTCGATGATCAGATGGCTCTATTCATAGAAGTACTCACCATAAGAGAACATGGACGGGACAGTACACTACCAAACTTTCGTCCCACTACAAAAGAGAAATTCGATTCGCTGCCTAAACAACAGAGTGAGGAAGCTTTGTTATTCGTACTCTGTTGAGTTTGAACTGGGAAGAATACGATTTTTTTCTAGAGAATGGATATCCTGAGTCATTCATTCATGACAGCATGACACCATTTTCCTTCAAGGCATTATGTGACGCAGCAAATGAGAAATGTGTCTACCTCTCCATCCCATTCAGGGGAGAAACGATCGCAAAATATTGAGTAGACGAATTCAATTTTCCAGAAAACTCATTTACTTTGCGGCTGAACCCCGCATTATATTTACGTCCAAACCGGTCTCCTTTATGCAGACCAAAGACAGATTATCCCCGTATGCGACCTTATCTTGGGTTAATCAATTCACCTGTTCCTGCGGAGCGTCATGTGGGTCGAACGATGAGGCGTCTACCTGACCGCATCAAGGAGCACTACCTCGTTTGGTTGAGCCAGGGATTGAAAAGGACCGGGGCGACGGCAATTACGAACCATTTAACTGAGTCTAATCACACAGTCAATGTGCTTGAGGTTTTCCGTCCTCTCTACACATGTCATGTCTTTTTACTTCCTTTTTATTTATCCAATAAACAGTCAACAGTCAGGAAGGGGGTCCGCGGCAAAACAAAGGCTACCTGGAAAGATGGGCAGGTCAAAAGTTGGTGACCTAACCACTTGGCCACCATCGCCAAGGTCAAGGGTAGGTTATCCAAAGAGGTCAAGTTCAGAATCTTGTCAACAGCCGAAGCGATTGCCATCCTTCTCCACAACTCCCCTTGTGCGCCCAAAAACAGTTTGTAAGAACACCGGTCTTAACATGGCCATCCAATAATCTGATGACGTAACCTCCGTTCATGAACTCACACTCGTTCATCTGCCCACCTATTCACAGCCAATCCGTCTTCCACTCCACGCATACACATTCACAAACATCAAATANCATCAAATATCACAAGTCCATCATCTCTTCTTAAACTCTGATTTCCGCAGATATTCGTCTCCTCTCCACGCTTATTTAATCTATTATAAATTGTGATGTATTAACCAGTTGATGAAGCACCGAAAACATGCTTGTTTGCTATCTTGTGTTTGCATGACTACTCAAACGGGAATAATTTTCCAGTGAGATATTGCTCTTATAAATGGAGTGGAGTATACACTAAGTGGTTTAGATGGTGAATGTTTGGAGTAGCCCATTCGGTTTTTCACAGGCACCAGGCACTGTTGGTGATGTCCCAAACAGGATGAAACAGCTGCCCAGTGCTTTTTGTTCGTTATCACAAACATTTCCATCGCATTAATATATATNACAAAGTGGTCACGACGATAAGACACTATGATGTGGTGTGATGACTATCGTTCTGTGCTATCGAAGTGGTGGCAGATCTCAAAAACAGCGAGACCTTTTGAGTAAAGATATTGGCCTAAAGGTCGTATCGCTTTTCGAGAATGTAAGAATTAAAGGAATGATTGGCCGTCGACGACGAAGTGCTTTGCAACTTCGAAAAGGATTTCCTGAAAGTGGAACGAGGTTCTGAAAGAAAACTGTCGCTCCAGGAAATATAAATGTGAATATTTGCATGATAACTCCAGGGGAGTATGATATTTTCGTCGGGGTGTTAATTCATTTTTAAAACTGAGCAACGGAGTTTGTGTGAACATCTGAAATTGGTTGTTACGCTTAATATTGGAGATTCTGCGAAAAGCAAACGGGGAGTATAGAGTGTAGGTTAGTGGCACAAACGAATTCACTAAACATATTTTTCTAGCGCTTCTTCTAAAAACGAGAATTCACCCAACTGGATCGAGTAAAAACCACCAGATGGCCACCAAAGAGACTCACACTCGAAGTTGGGATTCTATGTACTTGCTGTAATCCAGGTTAGGAACAACCTTATTGCGCAATAACTTTCGACGCCACTTGAGTACGGGACAACGCGAGCGAGCACAGGCACAATCCAATGGATATCGGCAAGCTTGGTAGTCCAAATCGAAAGGAATGGTGAGTTCGGTTCCAGACATGACCTCTGCAGAAGTACGAATCACGACGAGCAACTTGCCTTGGACAACATAATGCTCCAGCTACAGAAGCAATCGCAAAGGCAATTCCGCATACAAATGGTTACCATAAGAAACAGTAAAGCAAACTTTTCGAAGAGGAGTGACAGAGCATGTGAATGTTGCTTGTGCAAGATGTGAAATGTTAGATACAAAAGTGTCACCGTGGCTGACTAAAGGTACATTTCCCCATTGCGTGACGAGTAGGGTGCACAGAAACAGGATAGATTGCAAAACTACATACTAACGAACAGTGGAACATTCAAAACAATTTTTTCATTCCGCGATTGAAGACAGAGGCTATAGGGAGGCAAAACAGTTGGACAATACCAGGGTTCTTGAAAAAAGGACTAGGATAGTCGAATAAGGGTGACTTAACGCTAATGATCTGCTCTTGCGAGCAAATGAAAGCGGATCAGGAACTAAATCAATAAGCTTCACAGAGCAGTCGATGGTACTGGCAGTAGAACTGGGGGACAGCGGCGATCGCACGGCGATGGGTAGCTGCCTGAAGATTGAATACTAAGGACAGATTGGTGTCCGGACAAACGGACCAAGGCCTAACCCCAGATATGGCTATAATAATCCTTAATGGGACGTAGCTTAGGGAGTTAAGGGGGTGAAAATTCGTTAAGCGAGAAAAAGGTATAGGTTCTCCAACGGGCGTGATGGAAGCTCAACAATATGAGAGGTACAAATTATGGAAGCGGACAACTGGAGGACAAGTAAAGCTGTAGATGTGAAAGCAAGTAAGAATAGAAAAGGCACCGGGATTAGCGCTGCGAGATAAAAAGAGACTTGAACGGTATTGAACACGACTTGATTTTAAATGCCCCAAGCAGATATCGCACAGAGATCTGACTTGAGTGAAACACAAGCAGACGATCGATCGTCAGTGATGAGAAATCATGGGAAGTGTTGTAAGAAAGTGACCAAGATGTGGTGGTTCAATCGGTATGGACAAAATTGAGTCTGGATTAAGAGTTTGCCGATGAAGACAAAGAGGGTAGGAGGTAGCATCTAACCTTATGGAATGATGGAGTCGACTGGGGTTACTCTCGAAATGACTCCAACACGAAATGAAATCGAACGGTCACAAAGGAAGCTTGTATTTAGTTACTGAAACACATGGAGTCTGCCAACCTGTGGAACCCCTCGGACAGCAGTGATAGGTCCAGATAATGATTCACAAATATAAACTGACATGGTTCTTTATTGGAGAAACTCCTCAATCCAGTCGAGAAACAAACCTCTTGCTCCATAATTGCAGTTTTCAGAAGAGAATTTAGTGGTTTACTCGATTAAATACTTTGGGGAAATCCAAATAAACTAGAACCAATGCCTCGCCTGCATTGACGGATTCTGTCCACTCATTTCCTGGAAGAAGTAGATCTGTGGTGCACGAACACTTATGTCGAAATCCTTGCTGATCTGGGGATAAAATTATGTGATTCTCCAGATACGCCATCAACAGATCCGCCGCAATCGCCTTCATGACTTGACAGTATCGGAAGCGATGTAAGAAGGCGATAGTTGGCGGAATTACTTCAAGAACCCCCTCCGTAAATAGATGAAATCACACTCTCCTTCCGTGAATGCAGAAACAGCGCTTTGTTTAACATTCTTTAGTAAAGAACAGAGAGAGGTTTGGCCAATGAGATGAGAAGCCAAGAATGCATATTGTACGCGCCTGTGGATGAATTCTCACGCAAAGCTTGGCTTTTACTCTGCTGCGTCTAGCATAGTAGTTGAAACATGTCTAGACGATCTTAATGCTGGTATTCCGCACTTCACCGCCCTTGTAGAATTGATATGTTTCTAGAGCAGTTTGGGATCAGAAATGAATTTTTGAGGGAGTGTTTCTAGATACATCAGTTCGACGTCACACACAAACTTGGTACAGTTCCAGTTTTCACAACCATAAACCGAACACTTCCATGCGCCGCTTTTGGTTGGTATCTTTTGGTCGCCCATTGAGATGAAAGAGCAGGGTGCAGATCGGAGTGATGAGAGAAAATTCAAGGTGAAGATGAATCATCAAGGAGGGGGTTGCAAGAATCACGAGATGCACAAGCGCCACTGTTTGCGACACTCAGCCACATCACGCAGTGTCTCTAACAATCGGTGACCATGGTCCCGGGATATCCATCCAAGAAGCCTAACGGAACCTACGTAACCCAGTCTCCTGGTTATAGTTTTTATACCCTCATAACAGCCCTTCGGTTGATCGCCCCTGACTTGTTCCATCCTTTACCAGAATCGGAAAACATCGCTCGAAGAGGCAGCCTATCTGG